ATAATCTATTTTTAAATGGGACTTTTCAATAAAGGAGAGGGAGGTATCTCTTCCTATATCTGATGGGGTGGGTGGGTGGGAAGGAAGGGATTTGGGGGGAATCTTCCTGCTACCCCCAAGTGTTTATTTTTGATACCAAACATGTATTTTCAGCTCCCTCCCTCCCAGCCCCCCAATTTCCTGCAGGCGGGTACAAAGGACCCTTTAAGTGTCCCTGGAGTTGGGAGGGAGGAATGGGGCACATAAAACCTGTCTTGTCTCAATTCCAGGCCAGAAAGGGTGGGTTGAAAGACTCCTGAGCTCATCTCCAATGTTTGTTTTATTTCCCCCAAATGGACCTTTTTTTCTAAGAGTCCCAGAGAATGGGGAATTGTTCCTGTAAATATATATTTTTAAAGGTGTTGCTGGAGGCTGTTGACATTTTTCCCCCTCGATGTCTTCATGACAAGCTGAGTGTGATAGGGATACCCTTGTGTGAAGGGCAATGAGAGTGTGAAGCAGAGGTTGATTGTGGAAAAAATAGTGTGATGGCATGTGTCAGAAACAGTAGTTGAGACTGCCAGTTGGTAACCAGGTGTGTGTGAGAGAAAGTGTGGAAGACTGTGATTATGTCTGTTATGTGTATGAGAGAAGAGCAGCAGTTGTGACCACAAACTTTTGACAGCATGCCTATATGAGAAATTAAGGTTGTGTTTCAGAAACTCAACTAAGACTGGATGAATGATTAAGATCCCATACAAGAGTTGGGATGTAGCTCGATGGTAGAGTGTGCTTGCCCAGCATGCATAAGGCCCTGGATTCCATCTTCAGCCTAGCCAAAAAAAATCCTGTGCAAAAACTTGTGATGATCTGCATGACATATTGTTTGTGAGAGGGGACTGGACACTGCAGATCTGTCAGTATTTGACAAGCTGATGCCAAGCAAGACAGAATGTGTAACCAAAACTGAGTGTGAGAGAGGACAGGAAACAGGTGGAGACTGTCAGGGATCGGGTATAGGTGAGAGGCCTTACTGTGGGAAAGCAGGTGACTGACTGGTCATGAATTGTGGAGTGAGGCATAGCTTCTGTGTGAAGCTATACAAAGCTGAAGTGTCAGCTAAAGTCACAGGAGTAGGGCCAAGGATTTACTTGGTAGTTTTGCCGCCTGCTGTGCAAGTGCAAGGACCCAAGTTCGATCCCTGATAACAACAACAAAAAAAAGTCACAGGAGTGCCTGTGTGAGTTGATTGTGTGAGAGAAAATGGCTATGAGGGCTAAGAGATACTGAGATCCAAGATATGAGAATATGTGTCTGAAAACTTTTCATGGAGACTAGAAAAGACCATAAGAAATCAGATGGCTGGGGCTGGGAGACTCTAATTGTATGCGTGTACATGTGAACCTGAGATAAATGGCACACTGACGTATAGTGTCCACTTCTGCCTCTCCACAGGTTCTGGTGAGGCTGCGGAACTGAAAGGGTACCATAGGTCACAGAATTGTCTATGAGGGAGAGAGAAGAAACAATGTTGGTGAGAGGCAAGCAGCAGAAAGCCCAGGAACTCAGTGACCATGGGAAAGAAACTTGACAACTGAGCAGTGTCTAAGAGTGTATAAGTCTATGAAGCATTTCATAAAACTAAAGAGAAATCACATGTTTGTGAAAAAAAAATGAAACCAAGCCAATGAGACACTGAGTGACTATGTGATCAGAGTGTGTAAGAAACTTAAGACGTTGTAGTTGTGGGCATGTGCCTATGAGCTGACCTCGGGAGGAAAACAGTGGTGTGCCTGACTGACACAGGGCGTGGACAACTGATTGTGTGAGACATATGGAGAATCTAGCAGCAATTAGTGTCTGCATACATCAGAAGTGGGCTAGGTGGTAAGGCTGAATGAGTGAGTGAACCAGTATCTGAGAAATTGGTTGTGTCCTTATGTGTGAAATTCTAAAAGACTTTTTGGGGTTTTTTGGGGGCGGGGGGGTTGTTTTTTTTTGTTTGGTTCCAGGAATCAAACTCAGGACCTTGTGCTTGCCAGGCAGGCGCAGCGCCACTGAGCTACAACCCCGGCCCTGTAAAAGACTTTTTATTAAAGGCTACAAATCAAAAACTTGCAATGGTGAAAGCTGAGAAGAAATGTGGGAGCAGGTGAGGGCAGTCTGATACACTGCGTGATGGTATGTATGTGTGGAACCATTCATGGGAGGCTATAAAAGTCTGTAATCACGAGTCACAGGGGTTTAAGTGGCTTAAGTTAGCAGAGAAAGGAGAGATGGTGATTTTGATTTTGTCTGTGTGAAAAACTTCATGAGAGTCCAGTTAGTGATGAATGTAAATCAGTGACTATTTGTGGATGTGAAAAATGGCAGAGTGAATGAAATGACTTACATTATTAGATGATGTGACTGTGTATGTGTAAAATACTTATGAGAGAAAACATCGGTACGCTGAGTCAAACCATAAGACATAATTGTGAAACTGTTAGTGGGACACTGTAGTGAGGCTGAGGATCATTGTCAGAGAAAATGACTCCCTGAGTAGGTAAGTGACAATGTCTGAGTGGCTGTGTGATGGAGTATGTATGTGAGCTTGTTCACAAGTAGAGGCTGCAAATCCAGAATTTTATGTGTATAGGTAAAAAAAATTAAACATGAGAGATTGAGACCAATGTATTAGAGGCCATGGATTGAATTGCCAGGCGTAGGAGAAAAACTCCTTTGTCTCCTGTCTCCACAGGCCCCTTCCGCTCAGTCCCTTGGGCTGATACTTCCCAGTTCTCCAAAACTTGAAATGCTGGGATTCCCCTACACTTTGCTTGGGGCTCCCTTCTCCTGCACCCTCTCTAGGTGATCTAACCCAGATCTAGCCCTTGAAATGTGATTTATGCCCCAAGGTGATTTATTTCCAACTCAGGCTGTTCCTTTAAACGCTTACCAGAACCTCAAGTTTTGCTCCTTTGATTTGTTCATGCACTCAACAAATGTTTATTGAGCATCTACTTTTTGCTAGTACCCATCTACTGGAGATCTAGCAGTTAACATACCAGACCAAAGTCTCTGCCCTTGTGGAGCTGATACTCAGTGAGGGAGACTGACAAGGAACACAAATACATTGTATCAGGCAATAATGTAATAATTAAATAAGACAAGATTCTCTCTCTTTGTTTAAAGGAGTTTGCAGAGTCATTTTAATGCCTAAATGTGTGTGGGAGAAAATGAAAGTGCAGAAATCCTCATCCACAGGGAATCCTATGAGTATTCATACAGTTAGGGAACAAAGGAAATATCGATTATAACATTATTACCAGGGCAACAGGTTATTAAATAAAACAGCTAGGCAGAATTGCAGGTTTCTTGGGGAGTTTGTTTTCACAGGATAACACAGCGCTGACAGCTAAAGTCAGAATCTTAACAAGACCCCTTTGTTCAAGGCACACATTCAGAAATAGGCTTATAATCTCTGAGAACAGAATACATCTGTAATGGATACAAATATTAACACACACCTTATCGGCCCAAAACAAGAGCAGTATTCTTGTAATTTTTTTGAGACAGAGTGTTGCTGTGTAGTTCAGGTTGGCCTCAAACTTGTGATCCTCCAGCCTTAGCCTCCCAAGTACTGGGATTACAGATGTGCACCAATGAGCAGTATTCTTGAGAAACTTCTGTCTTAACCCCTGACCAGATTCTTTTGTTTTAATTTAAGAGTTGTATTTTCTCTGTGAATGCAGGAGAAATGAGGCATTGCCTTCCTATCTTTCTCAGGCTCCTTTTTGTTAATTAAAAAGATTGTTTTTATTTGTGGTACTGAAGAATAAATCCGGGGCCTTGCACATGTTAGGTAAGCAGTCTGCCATTGAGTCCCCAGCCCACAAAATTTTGGTTTTACAGCAGGCTCTGGAATTTCACTCATTAGGGCTATGAAAAAGAGAAAACAGGTCTGTGGAGCTCAATTTTACCTGCAAGAAAAGTGAACTGAAGAGGAATTAATTATTAGCAGTAAAACAAAGAGCATGTAGGATTGTTTTCTGTAGCTGAGACCCACAAAGAAAATTAAGGATCAAGGACTAAAATGGCAGTTCTTAAAGTGTGGTCCCCATGCCAGCAGCATCAGTTGTCAACTGGGAATTTGTTAGAAATGCCCATTCAGAATCCAGAGTGTGGGACCCAACAACCTCCAATTTTATTAAGCCTTTTGAGAGATTCTGATGTACACTATGGTTTAAGAGCCACTGGGCTAGAGAGTGACAGGGATGTCACCCAAGAAGGGTAGCTGGGAAAGGCCTCTGTGAAGGAGGTGATGTTTATTGTCTGTCTCCTCTTTTAGAGTATAACCCTCACTGAGAATTTGTCCAAAGAACTTTGAATGCTGAAAGGTTGCTGGGTGGAGCACAGTATGAGGTACTGGGGATTGGGTGACAAACAAAACAGGACTAAAGGTGACACAGGAATTGGGGAGGAGAGACAAGAGGAGGAGGCAGAGGGGCAAGGGAGGGTGGGAGCTGAGGAAGCCTGTACAGTGCCCTCCCAGTTCCTCCTGGCAGGGCAGGGCAGGCAGGTTCCTCTTGCCAGCAGTGGGTCAGCTCAGATCAAGCCAGGCCTCTCTGGCAGAGGTGCAGGGGTTTGGTGCTCAACATGACTGCCCCAGTGAAGGCACCTCAGTCACTGTTGCTACTGCTGCTTCTCACCCTGCCAGGCACAGGTGAGTAGGGAAGGGGCTGGCTGTCCCCTGGGATACCTAGGCTCACCACTCCTCTTACTGTCTGTGCCCATTTTCCTGGTCCTATTACAGGCTCAGACCCAGTGCTCTGCTTTACCCACTATGAGGACTCCACAGGCAGGTGCAAGGGCCTCCTGGGGAGAGACATCAGTGTGGAGAACTGCTGTCTCAATGCTGCCTACGCCTTCCAGGAGCGTGATGGTGGGCTCTGCCAGGCATGCAGGTTCGGGACACCTGGGCTAGGGGAAGGTGAAGAGGACTGTGACCCAGAACTGGGCTCACTCTTTCTCTAGATCTCCCAAGGGTAGCCCCCCAAGGTCCTGATTACAGCCATAGTTCAGGGTTTCTCAACTTTGGCACAATATTTGGGGCTAGGAGATTCTTTCTCTGATCTCTGCATTAGAGGATATTTTGTAACATCCCTTCCCTTCCACTAGATGATAGTAGCAACCTCTTTACACACACCAGTTGAGACAACCAAAAATGTCTCCACACATTGCCACATCTCCCCAGGGCAAGGAGGGGGCAGAGGCACCCCTGCTTGAGAGCCATTCCCATAGTGTGCTGAAGTATTTTACAGGTGGATTGCAGCTCGAGTATTTCTGAAGGTAACTCTAACCCCCAGTTGTGATGACAATTCATATTTATTGAGTGTTTACTGTATACAAATTCATGAGGAAAACCCCAGAGCCCTAATCAGGATGACACTTTATATTCCTTGAGCACTTTCTCTATACTAGACGAATCGCAGGAGGTGGGCAGCAGCTTGAGAATTCCTGAGGGTAACTCTAGTCTCCTAATTCTTGATTTCTGGCTTACATGTACCAAGCCCGTATTATATTACAAATATATCTTCCTTTTTTTGTTTGTTTTGTTACTGGAGATTGAACCCAGGGAGCACTGAACTACATCCATAGCTTATTTTATTTTATTTTATTTTTTGAGACAGTCTCACTAAGTTGCCCAGGCTGGCCTTGAACTTGGATTCTCTTGCCTAAGTCTCCTAAATAGGCACATGCCACCATGCCCAGCTCAATATATTTTCTGCTTATCATATATTCCAGATGTACCTTGAGGCTTCAGGGCTTGGGGATATTTGAGAGCAGCTTTGGGCCCCTACTTAGCATTGGCATCATACTCAGTACCATGCAGGGGTCTAAGGATAGGTCTGGGTGTTTCTGAGGGGGCATCTGTGCCCAGGGATGATGGCTGCCTCCCACTGTTGGGTTTCTGGCAGCAATTCCAATTTCCTGCTCCTTACATTTGCTTACGGTATACCTGGATTTGGTCCTGAGGGGATTTCCAAGGGTTAACTCCAGGGCCGGGGTCATGAAGAGAGAGGACATTTACCAATAACCTACTGTGTACCTACCTCTTTCCGTTCAATCTTCCATCATCCCTAAGAAGTAGGTACTCATCTATCAGTCCTTCACGTTTACATGGCACCCTCTCACATGCCTCCCAACACTCTGGAGTCCCACGTGCCATCCTGTCAGTTTGCATGAGGACAGGACATGTGCTCTTCTTCACAGGTCCCCACAGTGGTCACCGTGGTCCCCATGGGGCCCCTGCTCTGTGTCATGCTCTGAGGGCTCCCAGCTGCGACACCGCCGCTGCATAGGCTGGGGTGGGCAGTGCTCTGAGAAGGCGGCTCCTGGGATCCTTGAATGGCAGCTGGAGGCCTGTGAGGAGCAGCAGTGCTGTCCTGGTAAGGACACCTAGCAAGGAGGACAACCACTTCCTGTCACATGGCCTGTGGCACCAGAAGCATCGGTGCAGAGGCCCTGTGGGTGGGTGATGCTGGATGCTTTGAGAAAATGAGCAGCCAGAGTAGCTGGAAGAGAGTGGTGGGAGGAAAAGAGGGCCACAGTGAGGGCATCAGATTTAGTCTGAATGACTTCTGCCTTGTTTGGGAATAGAAGACTGTACCTGAGGGGTGAAGCAGAGGGACCAGTGTGAAGGCTGCTGCTGTAGTCTAGGTGAGCAGTGATGTGGGCGAGGTATGGGAACAAAGGATATGGGGACAGGGTTAGCTGACGTGGAACCCACAAGGAAATGAGTGAGGATCTGTGAATGGCACTCCCACTTCCATCCCATTCCCTTCTCTTCTTTCCCACAGAGATGGGCGGCTGGTCTAATTGGGAACCCTGGGGGGCTTGCTCAGTCACTTGCTCCAAAGGAACCCGGATCCGCCAGCGAGTATGTAATAACCCTGTCCCCAAGTGTGGGGGCCACTGCCCAGGAGTGGCCCAGGAGTCAGAGGCCTGTGACACCCAGCGGGTCTGCCCCAGTGAGTGAGGGCTGCCACAGGACACTGATGTGGGTACCCAGGGTGGGTCTGTGGAATTACAGCAGAAAACTGCCAGGGTGAGAGGACTTCAGCAAGCCTAACCACACATGTGACCCCAACTCCCACCAGCACATGGGGCCTGGGGTCCCTGGGGCCCCTGGAGTGCCTGCTCGAGCTCCTGCCATGGTGAACCCCGTAAACCTATGGAGACACGAAGCCGCACGTGTTCTGCACCTGGGCCCTCTAAGGAGCCTCCTGGAAAGCCCTGTCCAGGAGTAGCCTATGAGCAACGGGGCTGCCCTGGCCTTCCACCCTGCCCAGGTACACAAAGATCAGGGATAGTCTACCTGGAGGGTCTTGGGGCTGAGGGAGGATTGAGGCGGCCTTACTCCTTGCTCCCTTTTCTCCCTCCAATAGTGGCTGGGGGCTGGGGACCATGGGGCCCTGTGAGCCCCTGCCCTGTGACCTGTGGCCTGGGCCAGACCGTGGAACAACGGACATGCAATCGCCCTGTGCCCCAGCATGGAGGCCCCTTCTGTACTGGTGACGACACCCGGACCCACATCTGCAACACAGCTGTGCCCTGCCCTGGTCAGCACCCCAGAAGGCTGTGTTCCCATGCTTTATGCTTTAGCCCCTCACTCACCTCTGCTGCCAGTTCCTACTGTTGAGGTCTTGTTCCTGCCTCATGCCTTGGTTCTACCTCTGATCCTCCATTTCCACATCTGATCACTCCCACTCCCTCTCCTAGCCTTCATTCCTGCCCTGAGCCCCTTACTGGCTCCCCATTTTGATCTGCACCCCGGTACCCCCTGTCCCTGCAGTGGATGGAGAGTGGGAGGCCTGGGGTGACTGGAGCACCTGCACCCACCCACACCTGAGCACCATCCGCTGTAAGGAAATCCCAGGCCAGCAGATGCGCACAAGGAGCTGCAAGGGCCGCAAATTTAATGGCCAGCGGTGTGTTGGGAAATACCAGGATATCCGACACTGCTACAACATCCAGAACTGCATCTGTGAGTGCCCCACAGATGACACTGTGAGGGTGGGCAGCCCATGCAGGGACAAAGGTCTTTCAACTCTGCTGTGGACCCCATGTTCCTGCAGCCTCCCCTTCACTTTCCCACTGAGACCTGCAATTTCATCTCTGTGTGCCCCCCTCCTAGTTGGAGATAAAGGCACATGGTCACAGTGGAGTGCCTGGGGGCTGTGCACACCCCCATGTGGACCCAACCCCACCCGCGTCCGCCAGCGCCGCTGCATGGCCACACTTCCCAAGTTCTCGTGAGTGAGGGGCAGAGTGTACTGGGAGGGGGTCATGATGTTGAAGGTAGGAGAGTGAGTTTCCCCCAACTAGGGCTTCTATCACTGGGTCTGTGGTCCTTGCCTTGCCAAGTGCCATCTCCCAGCTACAGGAAGAAGGGAACAATAGAGAAGAGGAGAAAAAAGATACTGGGGGAAGTCACAGCTTCTCTGCCCTTCAATCACTCATTCAGTCCTTCATCCATTCCCTCATTCACTTAGTCCTTCATAGTCCACTCCCTCCCACCTCTCAGTCACTCATACCTCCATTCACTCACTGGACATCTCACCACCCTGAGGCACTCCAAAGCCTTTTTGGCAACAGTTGCTGACATACAGAACCCAGATCCCTGGATGCTCCAAGGGACCCAGGTGAGCAAAGGTGTATGACAAAGGGACTGCCACTGTGCCTTGGGTCCAGGAAGCTGACTGGGCCCTCCTAGGCAGGTAGGGTTGAGAAAAGCATTCCCGACATCAAAACTATAAGCGGGATCCTGAACACGTGTGATTGGGCCCCCTATGAGCTTACTGGTGGCCAGAGTGGCCCAGCTGTTAGGGTTGAAATGCCTATCCTTTCCTTTTACATACATCAAGCTACTAGATTAAGTGGACTGTTCCCAACTCATGGAAGGTCTCCCATCTGGGTTATGATCTCCCAATTGTGGGGCTCAGAGTGGGTCTTGAAAATGAGTTAGAGGTGTTGAATGGCAGCACACGGAACTTGAGTGAGCAAGAGACTGAAGGAAGGAAGGACCAATGGAGAGAATCAGGGTAGGTGTGAATGGAAGGTTTGTCTAGTGGGAGAAATAACCTTTTTGGACAAAGGACTCAGTTTGGATAAGTGGAAGAGAGAGAGCAAGAGATTGGCTTAGGCCAGAGATTTGGGCCCAACAACAAAGCCCTTGAATATCAAGACAAAGCATTTTCATTTTAGGGGTAGAGGGACTGGAGAGTGATATGAAGGATTTTAGAGGGTTTTTTTAAAAAAGGTAACTGCTGGGCGTGGCTTTGTACACCTGTAATCCCAGCACTCAGGAGGCAGAGGCAGGAGAATTGCTGTGAGTTCCAGGCTAGCCTGGGCTACATAGTGAGCTCAAGGCCAGCCTGAAACCCTGTCTCAAAAAAAAAAAAAAAAAGGTAACTCATAAAGGCTAGGGATATAGCTCAGTGATAGAGCACTTGCCTAGCTGAATGTGTAAGATTCTGGGTTTGACCCCAGCACCACAACAAAAAAAAGGTAGCTCATGCCAGCAATTAACAATCACCATTTACTGAGCACTCACTGTGCTCCAGGTACCACACTGAGCACTTCATTTGAATTAATTCATTTATCTTCAGCCCACTGGGGTAGGTATTGATGGTATTATTCCTACTATTTTCATTTTGTAGATGAGGGAAACTGAGACAAGGTTCCTGACAAGATAAAGAAACAGCCCAATATCTCACAGCTAAAAGGTAGTATTGGGCACAAAGTAGGCACTCATTAAGAGTTTGTTGCCAGGCATGATAGTACATGCCTGTAATCCTAGCACTCTGAGGTAGGAGAATCACAAGTTTGAGCCCAGCCCGGGCAACTTAGTGACTGAAACTGTCTTAAAGTTAAAAAAAAAGAGAGCTGGGAATGTAGCTCAGTGCAAAGGCCCTAGGTTCAATCCTCACTACCACCACCAAAAAAAAAAAAAAAGTCAAATGCATTCTTTCCTTCTCTGAGCTTCTCTTCTCCATTCCCCCTCTAATACCCCAGGCCCACAGTTTCAATGGTTGAAGGCCAGGGTGAGAAGAATGTTACTTTCTGGGGGAATCCACTGGCACAGTGCGAGGAGCTGCAAGGGAAGAAGGTGCTGGTGGAGGAGAAGCGGCCTTGTCTACACGTGCCTGCCTGCAAAGACCCTGCGGAGGAAAAGCCCTAACACCTCTCCCTCTGCTCTGACCTCCCGGACCTCAATAAACCAGCTTCATCAGGCTCTTCTAAAGATTCCTTAAAGAAGGCAAAGCAACCTAGCCCCTTTCCCAGAAGTGAGGCAATAGTATCTAATAGAGCAAAATCTCAGCAGCCTGTTGTGGAAAACAGTACTTTCCATTGTGGTTGTAGCTTGGAAGTCAGTCATGAAAGTGAGTGTCCAGCCCCAGCATCCCTTCACCGCTGCCGTAGGGCGGTGGCCCCTCTAGGGCCCCAGGGCCGCCTACCACATCCCTCTGCAGAGCTCTGCTTTGTAGGTATCTTGATTGGCTACTAGCCTGGCAGACATTTATTGATTGGCCAGCATGCTGGTTAGTTGCTGTCTCCCCGCCTCCTAAAGCTCTCCAGGTTCCCACCCGCTGGAGCCTCCCTGCTGGCCAATTCCGTGTCAGCTAAGCCAGAACCACAGCAGAGAGGCGTGGCTAGCATTGGCACCCTGCAGCTTGAACACCTGCACCCACCCACTCACAACAGCCCAGCTCCAACACCACAATTACAGATGACAAATAGCTCCGCGAGGCGGGGGTGGGGGTTGGCTGATGAAGTGACTGTGACATGCTTTGAGCTGGGGCAGGGGCAAAGAGCTGCTATAGTGTCAGCATCCACAGGGAGGATCCCCTAGGACAGACTCAGATGCAGATTCCTTTCACATGTGTCCATTTCACCGAATATAGCGCCGACTATAGGTTCGAACTTAGTCTAGGCATCTGCAGTGGAGGAGGGTTGATAGAAGGAGAGGACATCTGGGCCAGGGAACAGACTCAGAATAGGCATTCCTTTAGTTTGAACATTTATTTGACGCTTAACGCCTACTGTATACTAACAATAGTGCTGGACATCAGGGGATATAGGGAAGAAGAAAAATCAGAGCAGCACATGTCTCCACAGTCACAGTGAGGGGAACAAACCCAGACACCACTGCTCTTAGCATTTGCTCATTCATTTACCACTCATTGAATGCCAAGCCCCTTGTGATGAGGCACATAGGAATCATAATATTTATGGTAATAGCTAACACTTAGAAAGTACTTACTGTGCCCCCAGTAGTGTCTTAAGGCTTTGTATAGCATGAACTCATTTAATCCACAACAAACCATGAGAGTCAGTATTATCCCCATTTTACAAAGGAAGACATTTGGGCTGGACATTTTTGAAGCACCATTGTAATGTGGCCTTAAATACCAGTAGCAGAGTTCAAGACTGTGCAGTGGGTGAAGGGAACCCATCTGTGCAGGAAGATTCAGGAGGTAGATTTGTGATGCCTGGTGTTTTGTCAATATGCTCATTTGACTTTTCTGGGCCAGTTTCCCCTTATGTAACATGAGCCAGCTGATGTGATGAAGTGAAGAGAAGTTAATGAGTACTTGGTCATCTTGGGAAGACTGAACCAAAGAGGGTTTCTGGTTGCTACTATAAGATATAAGAGGTATGTGTTTACAAGAAAGTGGAACTTCAGCTGTATATGTATGTGCATTATGAGGTATATATCTGTGTGTGAGATGCAGACCTGTGGAGCTTGCAAGAATTAAGGATGTATTGAATGTGTGTGGAATGTGTGTGAGGTTACAACTCTGCCATAACTGTGTGAGTTAATAGGTGTGTGTGCACACTCATTAAGGTGGCATGGTGGATGTATGTGTTATAAATGTGGGTACACTACTGAGTGTGAACATGTCCAGGTATGTGATTGAATTATTGCACAGCAATAATATATATAATATATATAATATATAATTATATGTATATATAATAATTATATATAATATATATATATCACTCTTGGAGGCCTTCTGTACATCCATTCATGCTGAAGAAGATGGAGACAGTGCAGAAGAGCCTTGCCTTTGCCTTGAGGAATCAAAATATTCCTGAGGGACTCCTCTACAAAAAAAGTAATTCCTGGAAATTGAGCCACCTGGAAAAAGGGAAGGGTGCTGGAGACCACAAGTACTAGTAGCCTGGGAACTAGATACCTAGGAAAAGGCACAGTCTACAGACAGAGTCCTCAGGATCTTGAATTTGGGTCCAGAGAAGCCAGAAAGATCTGTAGACCTGCAGCTGCTCCCATCCCCTAGAGAGGTCATCACAGGCCTGGGAAAGTTTGCTTGCTTCTGTTAATAAACAACAAAGTTTTTTGATTAATAATGGAAGCACATATTTCAAAACATTGGAAAACACCCAATTTGTGGGGCACTCCCCATTTGAAATGCCAGAGAGAGCATCCTAGAGGGAAGAGGAAGGACTAGCCAAAGCAAAGGCCAGGAGATGAGACTGAAGGTGGGTGGGATGCAGGGGAGTAAGGGGATGGTTTGGGAAGTGTTTAACTTGGGAACCATGGGCACCTAGGGGAAGTGGGGATGAATCTGGAAGTAGGGGTTCCTGGAGGCTATGATCCAAGGCAGCTCTAGACAGAGGGAGGGAGAGGCATTCCTGACAGAAGTTACAGGACATTCAAAGGTACCTTTTCCTTAGAGGTGGGCCAGGTCATCATCCTTTTATTATACATGAAGAAACCAAATCTCTGAGAGATTGGGTCACTTTTCTAAGTGTGTCCTGGAGGCATGACTTGAAGCCAAGTATTTGACTCCAGACTCTACACTATTATTGCCTTGTTTAAACAGGCCAGTGGTTTAATGAATGAAGAATGAACAAATAGGTGGATGATTCATCTGAAAATCCCACAGGCAGAAGAGACCCCCAAATCTGCCTATTTGCATATCCTCTGCCACCTCATCTGGTTCACCATCACTGCTCACTATGGTCAAGGCCCTATCTAATCTGGCCCCTGGTGACCACTCTGACCCTGTCTTTGGCCACAATACTCCTCTGTTCTAGCCACACTGGCACTGACTGTACCATCTTCCTGGCACATTCTTTATTACTTTTTTTTTTTTTGGTACTGGGGATTGAACTCAGGGCCATGTGCTTGTGAGGCAGGCGGCAGAATTACTGAGCTAAATTCCTGGCCCAAGGCACATTCTTTATTTTTATTTTTATTTTTTTGGCACATTCTTTTTTCTTAAAAAAAATGTATATACATCATAAAGTGAACATGACCCTTTGGGAATTAATTGTAGTTCTTGGATTCACTTATCTGTAAAAGGAAATTATCCATCCATAGGACAGTTGTGAGTATTGTATGAACCAACACATGTAAACAGTTAAGTTTTCGGTATAGTCAACAAATGACTATTTATGGATTTGTGCTTTTATTGTAGTCAGAATCTTAGAGGTTTGACAGGATGCCATCCGCATCTAGCCTGGACTACCTCATTTGCTCAAGTGCAAACTTTATTTGGCATCCTGCCTCTGCCTGTGGAAAGTTCTCAGGTAAAGGAGAAGACAGCCACAAACACTGATGACACCAGGTTTTGGCTATGTCCAGAGCAGAAGGATGAGGACATTTGACCGAATGCATAGGGGGTGGTGGGCAGGCGTCAGGGCTAGAGCTGTAGGAATGTGTCTGTGTTGCATATCTAAATTTCTCTACGGTCATCTGTGGGTATGTGTTTTATCACGTGTGCTTGTGTGAGTTTCTCTGGGTCTCTGTGTTGGTATATTGCCTGTGTGTGTAACAAGTTATGCATGCATGTATTCAACATGCTCATGTGTGTTAGTTACTCTGGGCTTGTATGTCTACATATAACTAGATAGGTGTATGTCCTCTGTACCTGTTTACATGTGTTTCCTTTTATGTGTGTCATTCGTTGTGTGCTTTCAGGACCCCGCCACCCAGGGCAAGGGTGTATGCATTGCTCAAGTGTCCATCCCCACTTGTCTGAAGCTGTCTAGCTGCCCCCACATGCATCTCTCTGCCTAGCTGAGACTCGACATGGAAGACTGATCTCCCTGAAAGACACTGTGTGTGACCCCATGACTTGCTGTGAGGGGGTTATTTCTCTACTATTATGTCTCGAGTGTGTCCCCCCCTCCAAAATGCCTTTCGCTGTGAATGTCAACACTGGAAACTGTGTATGGAGAGGGTCTTGTGTGAGTGCGAGTGGATGTGAGGACCAGAATGAGGCGGGTAGGGGGGCGGCCTGTTAGGCTCTGTACCCGACCCTCCGGACAAGCACCCCACCCCCACTCCCGAAATTGCGCATCCCTATCGAAGGGGGGAAGGGAAACAGGATGCCGTGTGGTGCATGCGCACTGGCAACTTCAGCACCGCGGACAGCGCCTTCGCCCCCGCCTGCCAGCGCGCGCCATCGCCACCCCAGCCCTGAACGCACGCTGACGTCACTCGCCGTTCCTCCACAAACTCCCCTTCCCCGCTGCCTTGGTCGCGTCCGCACCGCCGTGGGCCCAGCCGGACTGCACCACGCAAGGCGCGAGTTAGGGAGACACGGGCGCGACCATCCGCGCTGCGGCGGCGGCGACTCAGCGCCGCCTCAGTCTGCGGCGGGCAGCAGAAGAGTCGCGTCGTGCCTGAGACTGCAGCTGTGCTCCTGGGCCGCGCGGTCCGCCCCCGCGGCTCCTGGCAAGACTGCCTCTAGGACCCCCTGCCCCAAGCCGCAACCATGAACTACCTGCGGCGCCGCCTGTCGGACAGCAACTTCATGGCCAATCTGCCGAATGGGTACATGACAGACCTGCAGCGCCCGCAGCCGCCCCCGCCGCCACCGTCGGCTGCTAGCCCCGGGGCTACGCCCGGTTCCACGACTGCCACTGCCGACAGGGCCTCCACTGCCGCCCCTGTGGCCTCTCCGGCAGCTCCTAGTCCCGGGTCCTCAGGGGGTGGTGGCTTCTTCTCATCGCTGTCCAACGCGGTCAAGCAGACTACTGCAGCCGCGGCAGCCACCTTCAGCGAGCAGGTGGGCGGCGGCTCTGGGGGTGCAGGCCGCGGGGGCGCCGCCGCCAGGGTGCTGCTGGTCATCGACGAGCCGCACACCGACTGGTAAGCCACTGACGCGCCTCCCCGTGGGCCTGGGTCCCCAGATAGTTCCACGGTGATCAAGCAATTATAGAGTGCTGCTTGTGTGCCTGGCCTTTGGCCCCTTTACTCAAATTCTTTTCCTTTAAATAACTGTGTTGGTGGGTTCCTACGTGCCCCACCCTTGCCTCCCCAAAACCTTCCCTGTGGATGCAGGGAGCAGTTGCCTACTGTGTTCCTCTTCTCCAGTTCCCCTCCCCAAAGCCTATGGCTTCATTAAATCCTATGAGCCTTCAAAAGCCAAATGTGTCCGGCTTCGCTTCTCCCACCCACCCCTTGCCCCGAAGACCTTGTCCTCTAATAAATCTTGTAAGCACTTATTGAGTACCTGTAGTATGCCTCATTGAAGGGTCCTTCCCTAAGGCCTTTGGGTTCAAAGAATTTTGTGAGCATTTCTTAAAAACCCTGCCCTGTTCTCCTCAACCCTTGCCCTAAGGCCTTCTCTCTGACGGGTTTTGTGAGCAGGTGTCCAGTTGGTGCTCTGTCCCACCCAAGCCCCCTCCTCAATGACCTTTTAAACTTCTCAGTAAACATTGAGTGCCTGCTGTGTATTCCATCCCAGCTTTTCGCCAAAGGCTTTGCCTTTAATGGATCCTGTGAACCTTGATTGAATGCCTTCTGTGTGCCTCAACTCCAGGCCTTCTCTTCGAGGGAACCTATTTTCTCCAAAGGATCTAGGAAGCATTTATTAAGTGACTGATATGTGTCCATCCCCGAGCCCCCTCCCAAACAGTTTTCCTCCAGTGAATTCCATGAATATTTTGAACCTTCTGTGTGTGACTCATCATCAGACTCTCTCCTCAAAGACCTTTTCCTACAAATGAATCTGGAAAGCATTTATTGAGTGACTCCTGTATCCCCCATTCTCAAGCTACTTCAAAGTCTTTTCCTTTTGTGGATCAGTCTAGCATTGATCAACTGCCTGCAATATGAGCCTTCTCTAAATGTCTTTTCCTTCAATATATTTACAAACATATATTGAGCATCTGTTGTATATCCCATCCCCAAATCCTTTGCCCAAGAACTTTTCCTTTAGTGACTTCACTTCACTCGTGTATTGAGCACCTCTTCCATACTGAAACTTAGACCTGCCCACAAAGGCCTGTTCCCCCCAAATTAATCCAGTGCTCAGATATCTAGAAATTCCTCTCTTTCAGGCACCCTTTTTTTTTTTTTTAAGGAGGAAAGATTTATTTGGCTTACAGTTCCTAGAGGTTTCAGTCCATAATTGGCTGGCTCTAATTATGCTCCAATTAGGCAAGATGGCAGAGTGGCAACAGTTCATGGTGGTGCAAGACAGCAAAAGCAATAAGAAACCTTAACAGCATTTTTCTGCCCCTTTTACCCCATCCGGGCTACCGGGATTAAGGTGGTGCCAAACCAATCACTCATGTGTTGTGGTTTAGTAATCACGCACCCTTAATCCTAGCATCACACATTCCAGATTCAGCCACCTCTGAAAAAGGAAGCCCCACCTCATCTGCATGAGGCTTTGGGGAGGCGTCTACACACAAGCCATAATATTCTGTCAGGCACTCTTTCCAAGGACTTTTTCTTTTAATCACTCCTTGGAGTATTTATGGAGCACTTGCTTTGTATCTGATTCTGTGCCTTCTCCACAAAAAACCTTTCCTCCCACAGAAGGAGAATCATCCTTGCATGCATCAAGTTTCTTCATTCCCATCCTCCTTTCTCAAAGGACGTTTCCTCCAACAATCCAGTGAGCTTGCATCAAATGTGTGCCCATCACTGGCCTCCTCCCCCAAATCTTTTTTTTAATGGATTCCATGAACATTTTAATCCTTTCTGTCATGTACTCCATTCTAATCACTTCCCCCCAAAGACCATTTCCTCCGGTGGGTTCCATGGGCATTTCTGAATGACTTCGGTGTGTTCATGCCTTCTCTCCAGAGACCCTTTCTTCCACTGGATCCAGCGATCACGTATGCAGTGCCTGTTGCATATCAGGAATACATTCCTTTCATTACCACTGGAAGAACCCACCCCAGTCATAAGGTCTTTTCCCTCAATAAATGCAGAACCCAATTTATAAGGGTTACCTTTGTCCCATTCCCTTCCATAACCCTAGGATTCCCTCTCCAAACCTTAAGTCCATACCCTGAAGTCTATTTAAGCCAGTAAACACTTACTGAGCACCTACTGTCGGAGTAATTCTGTTTCTTTTTTCCAAGTCTCTGGTAGGTCCTGCTCTTGCCTCAAGAGCTCACTCTCCAGGGATCTAAATCAGCCTAAATTTATTGAGTACCAACTGATTGCTCATTAGATCACCTCTCCCCCACGATCCTTACCCTGCAGCCTTTCTCTCTATATAGAGCTATTTATTCGTTCCACATATTTATTTCATATTTCCCATGTGTCAAAATAAGGGAGGCATTTATTAAGCATGACTGTGTACTAGGAAGAACCCCCTCCTTCAGCTCTCCTTTCTTCTAATCCCAACCACCAGCTGGCTTCAATATAGCTTTTCCTCTATTCAACCTCACAATTATTTAATGAGCACTTATTGTACACACTGAAGGACCTCATATTCTCCTCTCATTCCAGTAGTCCTAACTCCCCCCTTTAACAGTCTCCATCCTGCCTTTCACACTACACCTTCCTGACAGCTCACAACGCATACTATTCTCAATTTTTTCTGACTAGATCCCCATATCCCTCCTCAGCTATCCTTCCCTCCCATTAATCCAGAAAGCACTTATTAATCTCTTACTATATTCTGTTTTCTTAAAGTACATTCTCATCCCTGCAGCAGGATGCTCTACTATTTATTTTCCATCAAACTGTAAAGCATGTACTGGGCATGTGGGATAATTCCTTCACTGGTGTCTACACCACAAAGTGCTATCTTCCTAACTAAGTTTGCTCCATTGAAGTCAGAAAATATTAATACAGCCTCTGTTGGATATTGGTAACTCCTCCTTTGGGCCTCTCATCTTCACTTGACCCTCCAGGCAGGTTCCTTATTGCTTTTCCCTCCATTCCATCAAGCATTTATTACTGACTGAATACTGACAAGTCCCTTTCCCTTTCCATAATTGCAACGCCAATGTTTTCCTTTTATTTCTTTTTTTCCTGTTTTTTCTTCTCATTTGTCTAGAAGCATTTATTGAGCT